CACCCAGCTTGGTGTCATCTGCAAACTTAACAAGCACACACTCGATTCCCTCATTTCCCTCATCCAGATGATTGATAAAAGATATTAAACGGAACTCCCCTCCTCCAGCAAAAGGATCACTCCATGCATTTTGCATCCAATACTCCTGTTTCCACACCCAAGTGCAGCACCTTATTGCCCCCACAAACCCCACAATGGTGTGAAACCCCACTCCGAGCAGTCTGCAACACACCTTCATGCCCACGAGGTTATTGTGGAAGTCCACCCTGGCTCGCAGGTCTTTGTTGGGTTTCCTCCCCAGGAACTCCTTGACAAACTTGTTGCTGTATTTCAGGTTGTCTCCGCAGCCACCCCACTGCCAAGCCTCACGGTTCTCCAGGTCGGGGGCCTCGTCACAGGTGCAACGCTCCATCCGCCCCGCGCTGCATGCCTTGGCCATGGCGTGCGTCAGCCCCGCAGAGGAGATAGCGTACAAGAAGGCAGTCTCCTTAAAACCTGGAGGTTTAAGAGAGGAGGTGGCGGCTTTAATTGCAGCTGGAGCAAAAGTTAAGAAAAAATGAGGAAATCAAGGCAAAACCCATTGTGAGAAGAGTTTGAGCAATGTCAAAGCACGCAGAGCTCTACACGCATCAGTGATGATGGAGAGGGCACAGTGGAGAGCAAGGAATGATGGATAGAGGTGACACGAGACAAGATTCAAGAATGCAAATCAAATCTGGCCAGCTCTGTAGCTGTCACTCTGCAGACAGTCTCTGACTAAACACAAAGAGGTGAGCAAGAGCTGGACAGGCTACGGAGGTACCGTCATCATGGTACAGCAATACTGCTACCATGGGGCCACCAAATAGCAGGAACCTAGCACAGACTTCCAGGCTGGTGGTTGGGGTAGAAACCATGAAGGCTCCTTGTTATTCCCTCTCCCCCTGAAAAAAAGAAAAGCACTGGGTCCTACTCCAGTCCAACAAAACTGTTAACTAAAGGCACCTGAGGACTGGGAAGCACACAGTAGCCACCCTGTCACCCACACAGAGAACCTCACCCAATTGCCTCAAAAAACAGTTTACACCTGAAACTTTTCATGCACAGCCCTTTACACCTCCACACCCACCTGCAGGGATGCAACAGCATCCGCTCCTCCCAGTAGGTAAACTGAGGCCCAGAGACACCCATGATTTCAATCCAAATGATAAAAGACAGAAATAAAAAGCAAACATGCCAGTATTTATAGCTCCTCATTCTCTGGCTGTGGAAGCCATAAACAACTGCATATTTGAGATGCAATTCCAGAACAGCTTTGGATCCGACTCAAGAAATCCCCCACTCAAAAATAACACAAGTGGATGGTGACAGTAGTGGATATATCTGTAAGCTGGTGTGTCAACCAAGGACATGCAGAGACACTGCCAGGTCGTTTTTGGAACTGTTCCTTGGGAGTTTCATGGTAGTCCAAGCAAGCTCATGGGGTGCTACCCTGACCCATCCTCAGAGCTTGCCTTCCCAAAGCACTCCAAGGTGCGCGATGATGAACTTCGGCAGAACACAGATGAAAATCCAGTCCAGAAGACTGAGGTTTGGTCCTCCCAAGGGGGTTGATTTAAACCAGGTTGTGGTGACAATTGTCTGACTGCTCTACTGCTCACCTGGAAAAGAAGAGCAGGAGCTTTTCCCTTATTGGAAGAAAGATTAAAATAAAAAGGGCTCAACTCCACACTTGCTAGAGACACCATGAAGAGTGGTCAGGGTTGAGAAACCAAATTTGTTTCTTTTTTTTTTTTTTCCTCTTTGTTTTCTCCCTGAACTTAGACCATGTTCTCCAGCACCCCAGAAACACTCTCAGCATTGCAAACCTCTCTTTGGGAGTGGTGGGAGAATTCTTTACGTAATTCATACAGCAAAAACTCGTGGGAATGCAGACCACCAAAATCCTCTGTGTAGAAAATGCCTTCTAAGAAGCTTTCATCTTTTGTAGGCTAGTTCAGCTTTTTCTAGGTTACACCCTAGGTCAGACAGCTCACACAGCTGTCAGAGGGATGCCACTACTAGAAAGAGATGCTCCTAAGCCTCTGTGCTCCTGAGTTACAGAGTTTGTTGCCTCTTGCTACTGCTATTACTTGTGCTATGAAGTGGAGAGGTAGCAGTGTGCTAAGAGAAGGTCCTCAGTGGAATGGGACATGCAAACTCTTCTCTGAGAGTCTGAGACACTGCAGTTAGCAGAAAACAGCCTGGACGTGGTTAAATTTAGTAGATAGTCCAGATCCACAACCAGCTTGAAGGCCTCCTGGTTTGAGGCACTGAATTCAGAGCAATTGTGAAATCTCAGCAGAAAGTCAGTGCCGTGAAACCACAATGCATACTGGGTTTGACAGAAAGCCAGAAAGAATGGTTCATTTGCCAGGTTCTCCCCCTCCGTCAACCTCCTCATCAGCTTCAGCTCAACTCCTCCCATTCTCCATCACCAAAAGCCTCACAAACTCCCGGTGCCCATCAGCATGGGTATCATCCAGCCCACAGACAGCTCAGGCGACTTCCGAGCAAGTCCATGTCCAAGACTCTTGGCTCTGGCCAGACTTAAAGCCATCTCCACCATGCACTATTTGATTGCACCGAGATATTTTGTAACGAGATAATGAGCTTTAAATCAATGCAGGCATTCTAACCCCCAGTGCATCGACAGCCTGCCGTCCGTGGCTATCCAGTTTCAGCCATTTCCAAAATTGTTCGCGAGTATCCAAAGAGGATAACAAGTCCCTTAAACAATCCCCTGTTATTTTAAGAAATGGGCTGCATCAGCCCAAGCACAAAGCAGCAGCCAGGCTGTTCTGGTGACCAAGTGTAAAAACGGAGAGAGAAATTTTTCTTAAGCAAAACGTGGGGGTTTTTGCCTTTTTTTTCCCACCCCCCCTTCTCCTTAAGAGGCTGCAATGGTCCTGGAGGAGAGGAAGCAAGCCCACACCGATGTATTTGAATAGCTGTGTCTTAGCGAGTGATACATGTGCCCCTTTGCCCTGGGCTATCGCTTGCCGCAACGCTGAACCAGGAACCAGCAGCTCCCGGAGAGGAGGAGAAAGATTTACAGGGCAGTGTGTTATCCTGCGGGAAGAACGTCTGCAGGATTTACAGCATCGGTGGAGGGCAGAGATGTTGCGGGGGCATAAAACATGGGAGAATGAGACAGCAGGCAGAGCCTTGCAACCCTCAGAGCTACCATTTATCACGCGGGGTCCTGACAAGGGCTAGGGGTTCTCGGTGGTGTTTTAAGGCAGCTCCACTTCAGGCTGCTGTGAGACAGCCCTTGCCGAGGGCTGCCCACGGGGACAGGCACGTCTGAAGGAACAAGCTGTGGCCTCCAGGTGTCAGCACGGGAAAGTGCTTGGCTTCCCCAAGGTGCCACTAACCCAGGGACTCCTCCGGCATGCGGGGATATTTTTAAACGTCTTGCAGCTCTGGCTGGACCTCTTGGGTTTCATAAGGACTTTCCTTGTTTCCACCGCAGTCAGTGACAGCGCGTTCGTTAAGCCCTAGCACTTCTGAATTACTCCTCACTAATTAGCGAGGGAGGGCGTTTTGCAAACCTCTGCCCTTATCTTTGAGCACATCAGACCCTGGGTTTCTAGGTGTGGGATTTTCTGGAAGTCACGAAAGCCTTCGAGACCCGTGCAAGCTATCTGTAAAATGGTCCTGCTGCACTGTTAGCTGTAGCCCAGAAATACGAACTGGATTTTACTCACCTGAGCTGCTTGGGAAGGGGTGTGGGAATTACTCACCAGTCACATCCAGGGAGCTTTTCCCTGGGTAGAGCGGTAACAGGACACACAGATTTTGCCTGTTTTGCCCTGCACTATGATAGGGCTCCCCTTGCCCCCGCTAACAGGACAGCACAAAACAGTCCTTTTTGCCTTATTTCCCTTAACAAGACATTTGCTCAATTTCTTTCCCAAAAGGTTGACATAAATAGGAAAATATAATTTAAAAAAAAAGAGGGAACAGCTTCAGGAATTTCAACACCTTCCACTCCAGCAACAGCTCGACTTCCAGCAGAAGCGAGGAGCGACTGTAGCTACTGGCTGCAGACACCAGCCACACGCAGAGACATCTCCAGCCTCCAAGGAGAGCAGCCATGGCCAGCAGTGGGAGGTGGACAGGGATTCCTTCACTCGTACAAGCACATAAATTACTGCCATACAGCACATCCTGTGCTTGCTGTGCGCTTTCATGGATGAGATGAGCCCAGATTTGCCTTGACCTTGTACAAGCTCTTCTTGGACCTCTGGGGAGGTGGTGACCCACAGCGCACTGGCCAAGGACACACCAATGACCACTCTGCAAAATGCCAGGGAAGCCAATCATAGAAGAATCACAGAATAGTTTGGGTGGGAAGGGACCTTTCAAGCCCATCTAGTCCCACCCCCGCAGTGAGCAGGGACATCTTCAACCAGAGCAGGTTGCTCAGAGCCCCGTCCAGCCTGACCTGGGATGTTCCCAGGGATGGGGCATGTACCACCTCTCTGGGTGACCTGGGCCAGGGTTTCACCGATGGGTGCAGGGGGTGTGAGCACCCCTGACTAAGACCCACCGCTCAGCTCACCTCTCTTTAGCAAGCTGGCCCGGTAGCGACCCTCCAGGGTGCAGTTCCAGCGCTCGAAGCGAAACTGGTACTGGCACTCCAGCGCGCTCATGCTGATTGCCTCCATCAGGGTCTCGGCCACGCCGGGGTCCCGCCGGCACATCCTGCGCTGCTTCTTCTCCAGCTTCAGGCGGTCACAGACTTTGTAGTGGGCTTTGACGGCAGCTTCCTCCATTTCTGAGGTCAGAGGGAGGATGGTCAGGGGTTCGTTCCCAGTCAGCCTGCGGGGGAACAGAGGGACACAGCAGTGAGGAGAGAAATACAGACCACGGTAGAAGTGAGGGCCATGGTGGGAGCAGGTTCTCCCTGGCTGAGCACCCATGTGGACTTGCTGATGTCTGGGCAAGGAGTGATTTTACATGGAGGCTCACTGCAGTGCGTGTGCAAGGTAGGAAGAAGAGAAGAAGGTTAAGAAGCAATATTTGGATTTATGGTCTCCATTAGCTCTCACAGAGCTTGTTTGGACATAAGACCTTGGCAATCTCCACCACAGAACTGCGTTGAAAACTGAAATAGGAAAGAAATAATTGAAGGTACCTAACTGCATGAACTTGGGAAACTAGCAAAAATACAAGAGCACTACAGTCACTCCTCTGTGCATAAACAACAACAAAAAAATCATTTTAGCACATCAAGCAGAGCCAGAACTGGCTTGGGAAGGGATAGAGAGTGATTCGTCCCACCAGACCGAAAGACACACCAAGAAAGTACATACAACCACCCTGCCCCTCAGCAGAAGAGATCCTGACATAAAACCTAGCAAGCCACAGCCTGAGGCTTGACAGCAGGATACACTTTCCAGGCAATACTGCCAAAAGCTTTTACAAGGCAGAACAAGCTCAAAACCTAAAAAAAAGTGACCTGAAGAAACTTGTCCCATTGCCTTCTCCCCTCCCCTGCCTTCTCCAGGCACAAGGTCCTTGACTCGTACAATGTGCGACAAAAGAAGCCAGCGTACTGTTCCCGGTGTCAAGTGACGAGCTGCTGGAAAAGGACCAGGCTGGCATCGGCCCCGGGGAACAGCGAGGCTGCAGAAACATCTGCTGGGCTCATGAGCGGTTTGTTGGCGAGGCTGCCCGCACCCCACTCTCCTGGCTCTGCCCTTTTCCGGCCAGGTGCCAGTCCACGCAGTCAATGGGAATCACTATGCAGGGTTTCGAAGGACCTGAAGACACGTTTCCCCAGCCAAAAAGGAAGAATTGTTTCAAGCTAGAACCGAAAACGTGCTGGGACGGTGCAGTCCTGCACGGGCGGGCGTGGGGATGGGGCAGAGGCTGAGACGTCTCCATCGCTGCAGGACCACCGGGGGAGATGGGGCGATGGGCGCAGGAGGGGAGCACACGCTCACCCCCTTCGCTGAACACAGATGGATCCTGGGAACCCTTTAAAACCCCGCCTGCTCTGCAGCAGCAGCAGCAGCGATTTGTGGTTTCTTTTTTTAACGAGGATTTCTCTCTAATCGGTGGGACGCATCCCGCCAGGAGCGCGGTCCCCAAGGGCAAGCAGCTAGGATGTTTTAACTCCCAAACCTCCTTCCACCAGGGGCACAAAATCCTGACCGGAGCCACAGCATCTGGCACAGATCCAATCATTACTGATGGTTTCACAAGGTGATTTAACATCAGATGTCTAAAGGAGGGAGGAAAAAAAAAAAAAAGGCTGGGTTTGGGGGTTGGATTTTTAGGAGAAAAGAGAGGGGCAGGGAAATGTTCTCCTTCAGTTACCTTCAAAACTATTAGGATTTCCAAAAAAAACCTGCAACAATAAACATGAAAAGTCAGAGTGATTTGTGGGAAACATGGAAAACTAGGATAACCCAGTGCAAATTTCCCAAAAATGCTTTCCCCCCCACCAAAACCTGCTCCCCCAAAATGATAAACACACCCAAAAGGCCTAACAGAAAGCTCCATCTGAAGCACTGACAAAGGTTAACCCTTACATTTTTCCTCTGTCTCAGCTGGGGCAGACTGTGGACTTGGTCTCAACTGCTCCCCAGACTGCTCTGCCAAAGAGATGGGCCATCACCCAGCCCCGGTGCCTCGTTAACCAGAGCTCTGAGCAGGCTCCACCGTGAGAAAGGTGGCTTGGTCTGAGCTTCACAGGAGTAAAGACTTGTAACAAAATCTCCAGGACATTCACTCCTGGCCTTCATCAATACTTCTGCTCTGAAGGTTCACCCCTGCAAGCTTTCACAGCTGGCGCAAGAGATATCCTCAGCTGGCGAAGAAGAGGGAGGGAGGCATAAAAGCATTTTCTACAGCTCCCCCCCCCCCAATTTACCTTTCCAACTAAGCAGGTACTGTTCAGCTAAGTGTTCTGGAAAACACAAGCTCCAAGTATCACGTAGCAGATGGCTATCACAGTGAGGAGGGATGCAGAAGCTGATCCTACCGCCAAGATTTCTGCAGATCGATTGGCGATTTCGAAGCCCTTCCCCACCCTCCCCCTTAAGTGCTTGGCTTTGACATACTTCAAAGTTCAGTTTCCTACAGATCAACCTTGCAAAACTTGCTGACAGTACAGCCCAATTGCACGTATCTCCAATAAAAGTCACCTAAAAAAAAACAAAGTAAAGAACCAGGGATAGGGAGAAGGTAGAAAATGAGATTCGCAGTGCCGCACCATGCCAGAGGACAGGCTTCCAGCAGCCACTTAGAACGAGTGGATGGAAAGGCGTGGGAAGCAACAGAAAATTGAAGCATTAAATGGACTAATTGTCAGCAAGGTCCATTTTCATTGCTCTGTGCAAAAGGCTTAGGTAGGAGTGCACCAGCTCTGGTACCTGGGACATGCGGGTAAGAGCCACAGAGAGCCGAGAGCTGCCCAAGCACGCAGACACTCCCATCACCCCTTCCTGAGGAAACAGCCCAAAGACAAGACACCGACACGCTGTCCTACAGAGAAGGAAGGATACCACCTTTTTCCACCTCCTGTTTCCTGACCCAGCTCTGCCTTGTCCTCACCCATCAGAGAAAGAGGACACGAAAGTCCAAACGGGTGAAAAACAAGCCATGAGACGCACGTGCTGAAGACGGACGCATCCATCACAGCCTGGCTTGTTGCTCAGACTAATTCCACTGGCTTTCATGCCAGCCTGAATCGGGGCGAAGCCAGTGAGTTAGGAGAGCATCTCCAGAACAAGACAAGGAGTAAATTTAGGGGAAGGCACTTTTCCTGTCCAGAAAGCGACGAAGCTCTTCCAGGTGAAGACTTCCACGGGCGAAGGCAGCGCACGCGGTTCCCCGCCGGCGCTGGATGCGTGCCCACGTCAGCACGGGGGACCGATGCCGCGGCCCCGGGAAGAGGGGTGAGGTGGGGGGTGAGGTGGCACTTTCCAGAACGTGGCATCAATAATGAACAAGCAGAGGTGGAGCCAGGGAGAGCCGGTGCCCCCACCTGAAACGCTGCCGTGGAGCTGCCGCTGCATGGAACCTTTATAATCCTATAAAGCCCTTTTATGCAACCTAAGGCTGAGTGAGGTCCTGTAAGGCAACGGTGTCAGTCGGATGCTTTCTCAGCTCCTCACAAAGACCGAGCTGTTCCTTCCAAGGAAAGTTTTTGGGAAGAGGGGGTGTTTTTATTTTATACACACCCGTTCCACAACTGTTACGATTAAACTGCCAGCCAGCACTCTGTGCAATTGTATTATTTTGGATCGAGGGGGCTGAGTGTGAGCTGAAGGTGTGTTTGCCCACTAGGAACCCGAAGAGAGACCAAACAGCTCATTGCACCCAACCCAGGAAGCTTTAACTCTCCGGAAATTATCTCCAGCCTCTGAGAGCAATATGAATCTACAAAGTCAAGAAACTGCTTCTGCTTCAGACTTTGACCTAAACTTCTGTGCACCTTGTCTGACTTCTGCTCCGAGAGACACACTCGCACCGTCCAGACCTCAGGAAGTACCTGGTTGCCCAGTGCCATGCCCACCTAGCTGAGAGGAACCTTCGCAACATCATTTGGGCTATTCTCCTTCCCGTTCAATCTGTCCCCAGTTTGAAGCCAAGAAGCCAGAAGGTTTACTACCACCAGATGTAAATAGCAAGACCTACCTGGTTCGCACATACACTGCTGGTGGCACCCGGTTGCCTTGGTTGTGAACTTCATGTCAAATGTTGCTAACCACTGTGCTCTCCTGGAGTTCAGACTCCAATCACCCAGGCTTGGGAGAGAACCCAAACGCAGCCCCGGCCGCTGCACAAGTCACACCGGTAGCTGCGTAGCCAAGTTTTATCTGTAGCACCATGGAATTACTGCGCTGCCAGACAGGCAGTTCCAGGTGGGTCCTGCCTTCAGCTCATCTCAAAGTCAAGAGTTTTTACGACTCTCATCAGCTCATTTTCATCAGCGTGCCTGTATCTTCCCTTGTTTAACTGTGGATTTTCCTGATGAGAATTTGAGGAGGATGAGGCAGAAGTAAGGCACCTGCGTAGGTCTGTAAGTGCACTCTCGCTTTTGACACACTCAAGCGTTTCCTTTGCAAGTGCCAGAGACGCGAGCCAAGGCAAGCTGCTTTCCTGCGAGGAAATGCCTCTGTTATACCTGCCTGGAATGACAGGCCTGCTGAAATATTGCATTCCTATCCCGGCGCTTCCTTCTGTTGGGAGATTTATCTTTGGTACATCTGTACAACGAGCAAATTGATTCTATTTTCAATTTTTACGTGAATGTTTTCCTGCAGTATTGCTACTCTTTCAACCCTTTTTCTTCTCTTTCCACCACTTCTTTCCTTTCATTTTAATAATTTTTAAAAGTTTTGGAAAAGTTGGCAACTTGAACACTAACCTTCTTCACTGCAATACCTAAATTCATGACTCCACAACTGAAGGAGTTAGACTGAGTTATCCTAGACACCAGGCCAATATTATTATTTTTTGCATCCAACAACCTCCAGTCGCCCTCCCTCTCCCACTACACTCCCACATTGTGAAGAAGCTTTCCTAAATTGATTTACCATGGTGTCATCCCCCATCCCACAACGGCTAATTGCTATTTGAAGTATAAGAAGCCAAAGTCCAAGAAAACTCTAAATTCCACGGTGAGTGATGACGACTTGATATTTGGAGCGAGAGTTGACCATTGAAGAATCAACTATCTCATTCTGCACCATATTGTTTGGTTTTTAAGTGTTCACAGGTACAAATGCCGCCTTTGTGCTCACACTAACTCAACATCCTTTGGAGGAAACCATCTGAAAAGCGTTCACCAACCTCAGTTCT